TCCTCAAGGCTGACTCTTACCTGAATAAGAATCCCTTCTTACCCTGTCCGGCTAGTGGTTATCCAGTCTCTACTTGTAAAGAAATCAATTAAGGGAGATATCCCACAGGTTCCCAAGGCATTCCATTTCATTTTTGAAATATAATTCTCATTATTAGTAAGATTTTTCCTTATGTGCAACCTAAAACTGGTTCTCTGGAAGATCTATCTGTTGCTATTAATTCTGTTTGGGGGCTAAGCAGGACAAATCTACTCCTTCTTCTATGTGACAACCTGAGAATGGCAGCTGCCATGCTCCTTGTGCACTACCCTCCTCTTCCCATCCCCCCAAATCTTCTCATCAGCCTAAGAATCACATGTCCTTCAACAGACCCCCAGAGGGTCTTAAAGGGTCTTCACTTGACTACTATGCTTGCCCTCCTCAAGACACTCTCAACCTTATGACTATCTTACCTAAAATGAGTGCCCAGAAGACCGTGTGATATTCCATATAAAGAATGTCCCCGAAGTCTTACTGTAATTTTCCACTTGAATAGCTTAAAGTATGATAGCATTCTTCAGGTTTTTGAAAGGTTGTCACAGAGAAGAGAGATTAGACTTGTTCTATTTACTTTAAGAGCTAAAACTGCCCTAAGACTTTTGGGATATTCTGTATAACCAAAATATGTGGGAAGATGCTATAGTTCTCTTAATGCAGTCCAAGATGAAAATGGGTTTATTTAGTTGCCATCTTTGTTTTAGCTGTCATAGCTGTCATATTTCCCTGTTAATGCATATTGAGCTTGGAGGGCAAAAACAACCCCAGATATATAGTTAATAATAATAATAAATAGCTAATATATATAGCATTTACCATGGGCCAGGTACTATGCTAAATGCCTTATAATTATTATCTCATTTGATCCTCACAACAACCCCGGGAGGTAGGTGCTATTATTATCACCATTTTACAGATGAGCAAACTGAGGCAGACAGAGGTTAAATGACTCACCCAGAGTCACACAGCTAAGAAGTGTATGAGGCCAGATTTGAACTAATGTCTTCCTGATGCCAGGCCCACAGCTCTATCCACTGTGCCCCACATCTTGAATTTGTGAAGTTGATTTTCTTCTTTCTTTTATTAACCTTCAGTTTAAGACATATTTATCTTTATTAAATTTCAGTGTGAGAGGTAGGTTGGTATAGTGGATAGGAAGACCTAGTGTCTTACGTATATTAACTGTGTGGTAACTCGGTTGCCTGGGAAACTCACTTAAACCCTCTGTACCAAAGACAACTCTCTAAAACTATAAATTGCAGAGAAGGCATCAGCCTGCATAGGTACAGAGAATTTCCTCAATTGGGAGTTCCTCATACAAATGGAATCACAGGTCTAGTCTCTATTCTTATCCTTAAATTTCACCGTATTAGATTCAGCCTGGCATCTTATTCTGTCAAAATCATTTTGCATCCCTACTGAGTCACCCAGAATCTTAGCTTTGTATCACCAACGTCTGATGTCACTCAGCCTCTGTTCATAGAACTGTTATATCACTGATGGTAGAGAGAGCTTTAGAGATCATTCAGTCCACTTCTTTCATTTTACAGACCATTCGTTGGCCTCCGTTTCCTCGCATGTAAAATGAGGGGATTAAAGTGTACTTTAAGCACAGTTTCAGGTTTAAACCTGCATGCCTCTGCCTAGCTGATCCTAGTTCCATGGGATTTTTAGAACCTACAAAAAGTACAGGTTATTTCATCAAACTGTCTTACATTACAGATGAGGAAAACAGAGCTCAGGTAATTTGTGACTTGACTGAGGTCACAGAGGTGGTAGTAGAGGGAGGATTCACACCCAGGTATCTGATTCTAAATCCAGTGTTCCTTAACATAACGACCATCCTGCCTATAAATTTTCATGATCCAGTTTCATGGGTAAAAATTCATGTTGTTTCCAAATACCTAATCTGTGTGATATTGTGAACACATTTCATTTGTGAAAAACAAGCTTAGGTTTAAGTTCAAATAGAGTGTTTACAATGTTCCCTGGTGCTTTTTCTTTCCTCCCTGAGAAAACAAACACAAAATCCAACTCATTTGTCATCCTTGTTTAATGCATGAGCTATAATCCAGAGAGTTGCAAAGACCAAATCCTAGATCCCTTCATGCTGGAGTTTTAAAGCAACTGCAGTAAGGTCAAGATGTCATCCTTGATAAGACAGGCAGAGAAACTTACTTACATAAAACTCCAAAGGGCTATAAATGTCCCTTACTCAGTTCACAGGCAGCTAAGTAAGCTAAAAGAATAATGATGCTTCATTAGCATGGTCTGCTCCCTGTTTTTTGAAGAAGAAGGCTTGAGAGTGGCCAGATTTCTGTTTAAAAGGAAGGGTGAGCAACAGATAGGTTACCTGGTAGTCACCTCTTGCTAATGTCATGGCAGTACATATCGAGCCAGGGAGAGTTGGCAAAGCAAAACTGGCATGCAAGAGTGGATTTTTCCTCCTGGAAGGACAGCTCAGTGTTTCAGAAGAAAAAAACTCTTGTCACTGATGTGCATGTCTAATCTCTCCTACTCTACTGTCAGCTTCCTCAGGGCTAGGGTTATGTCTTATTCTGATACCTTACCTTTATATAATAATTTAAAGTTACAGGATCAAAAAATATTAGTGCTAGAAGGAAACTCAGAGACTTCCTGGTCCAATCTCCTTACTTTACAGATGAAGAAACACAGGCTCGGTGAGAAGTAATTTGACCGAAGCATCGCGATAATCTACCTTGGTCATAAGATTGTGGAATTTAGTGCTGGAAGGGACCTTAGAAATCAAAGAATCATTGAGTCATAAGAACTTAGATGATAGGACCATAGATCTACAGCTAGGACCCCAGAGGCCATCTGTTCTAACCTCTTTGTTTTATGGATGAGGAAACTGAGGCCCAGAATGAATGTTACTTCTACAAGATCACCCAAGCAGTGTCAGAGATGGGATTCGAACCATGCCACCATAACTACTAACTTCTGATAATCCACTACTACCAATCATGTGCCTTTCAATAGTGATTTAAAGTTGGCAAAATCCTAAGTGTAGATTGAAAAGGTAGTTTTCTGTTTGCTAACAGTGTAGACCCTCCTTGATTCAGAACTGACTTGACCCTTTTAAAAAAGAGAACACTTCCAAAGGTCCTGAGATCTGTTCTAAAGAAACAAAGGAAAATATTATATTGACTCTAATTATCAGGATCTGAGAAGCAGACATAAGTTTATGCATAGATTCAAGAAGAAATCTGATTTAGAATATGGCATATGATATGACTGGAGTGGAAAGATAGATGAGGTTTAATAACACAAAAGTCTTTTAAGGTACCTTCCTCTCTCCTTTCTTCCCCTATCCTCTTTCTCTCTTCTCTCCTCTTCCTTTCCTTCTCCTCTCCTTTCATCTCCTCCTCTCCTCTTCTTCCTTTCCTCTCCCTCTCCTCTCTCATTCTCTCCTCTTCCCCTTAACTCTTTTTCTCCTAGCAAGGGGATCAGCAGGTGGCAACATTGCTCCTCTTGTAGGTAGAGGAGAATGTAGAGAAGAGACAAATGGATGGATAATGAGGCATGAAATTATCACTAGACTTTGGCATGGCTATCCCCACCTTATGCAGTGTTGTCTTTACATCTTTTCTTTTCTAATCATTCATCTAAATGCCTTCCTTCCTTCATTTTTCTTTGTGCCTCTTGGACTGCTCCATGTCCAGCAAGTTTAGCTCAATTTCCATCTGGTCCAGAAAATCATCTCTGAATATTGCATCTCACATTCCTAATTATCTTTACTCCTAAGCACAGTTTGTATCCTTAGACTCCACCTCCCTGCCTCTCTACTTTGGTCATGTTCTTCATAAAGAAGCCATCAACAAATGTTCATGTAAAGTAAAGACATATTTTTCAATGTAAATGATTCTGCCCTTAGTCTCCCCACATTATCTTGTTGTGAATTTGATTTTGAGTATAACAGGTTTTCTTGAAGTATGGTCCACCTTGGAGAACAGTCAATAGTGGACACTTCATACATTACTACTACTACTACTACTACTACTACTACTACTACTACTACTACTACTACTATTACCACTACTACCACTACTACTACTACTAATATGACTAATTTATATCTCTTCAAAGTTGTCAAGGTTCTTTCAACATAGCTCTTTTGGGAGGTGGGTTGTTTAATAGTCATTTTCTTCATTTTTCAAATGAAGACATTGAGTTCCTGAGAAGAGGAGTGAATAGCCCGTGGCCATCCATGGGCTCTTTACTTCTATAGAATTCCAGAATAGGAAGCACCTTCAGAAGCTATCTAATTTAACCTATACCTAAAAAGGAATCTCCATTAAAACATCCTGGACAAATCATCATCCAGATTTTATTTGAAAACTTCTAACCAGGGGGATATTTCCTATGCACCAAGGAAACCCAATGTATTTGCAAATATTTCCAATCATCAGACAATGCTTCCTTACATTAAGTCTAGATTTACTTTTGCAATTTCCACACGTTGTTCTTGCTTCTGACTTCTGGGATGCCATAGAACAAGTCTAATCTTTCTTCCATATTGCAGACTTTGAAATTCTTGACTAGAGGTATGATGGCCTTCATTAGTCATCTCCTCTCCAGTTAATTATCCCCAGTTCCATCACATAATGCTCATATGGCATGGAATATTGTATTTGGTTCTGGGTGTCACATTTTAAACACGTTCAAAGGAAGGCCGATTAAATTTCATGTACTTATAATAGTCTAGGATTTGAACTCAGGTCCCCTAACTCCACATCTAAGTTTTTTGTTTGTTTTTCCCCCTTTATGATATATTGCTTTGGACAGCAGGGTTCACATTCATTCTCATTTACTACTTATGTGACCATACTTATGAACTCAGAGAAGAATTCATGAGCCTAGTAATCTTAGCAAAGGCTATTATGGAGGCCCAAGGCCATGAGAATTGGCTGCACTGGGGTTTCATTAGGCAGAAGGGAACTCACATCAATGGGCACACTGTCATAGAGGCGCTTGCCAATCACAGTCTTTCCCTGGATGTCGATGTTTTCTCTTTCCTCAATGGGCAGTGTCTGTACCAGCTTGCAGTCAATGTAGAGGGACACATTCTTGGCCTGGATGCTGAGAGCAATCTTGTGCCAGTGTCGGTCAAATAAGTCACTAACTGGCACACCCCGGAAGACCACCCGGACTGCATCCTTCATCACCCCCACAGCATTATACTCCACAGCTTTGTTCTCCCCATCTAGCCGGATAGAGACCTGAAAAAAAAATCAGAAATTTTTTAAATGAGAAGGGACTTAGGGAGAATATTTATATTTACGTCACAATTATTCAACATTTATTAAGCCCCATGCTATATGCTAGGTACTATACTACAAGGCTGGGATGCAGAAACAAAAAAAATAGTTCCTGTTCCCCAGGAACTTTAGCATTCTACTAAATAAAAGGTACATAGATACCTAAATACAAAATATATACAAAGCAAATATGAAGTAATACTGGAGGATCAGGAAACACTTTACTGCAATGTGACACAAGCTAAGGATTGAAGGAATCTAGGGATTCTGAGAAGCAGAGTTAATAAGGGCATTCCAGGGATGGAGATTGGAGATGGGATGTAATGTATGGGAAACTATACCAGTTGGGCTTGAATATAGAGTACATGGCAAGGATTAATATTTATTAGCCCTGGAAAGATAGCCTGGAGTGAGACAGTAAAAGGATTTAAATGCCAGACAGAGAAGGCTGTATTTTGTTCAGTTGGCAAGAGAGAACCACCAAAAGCTTCTTAAGCAGGGGAAAGACATGGTCAGATCCTGTTCTAAGAGAATCATTTTGGCAGCTGTGTGAAGCATGGATTGGTGAGGAGACATACATACTTAAGGCTAAAGCAATAGTCCACATAAGTGATAACTGAACTACAGTAGGGGGTAGTCATGTGTGTACAACGAAGGGGACAGATGTGAGAGATGTTGTGGAGTTATAATTGGCACCTAATTAGATACGGAGGGGTTAAGAACAGAAAAGAGTCAAAGGTGATTCCAGGGTTATGAACCTCGATAACCAGAAGGATAATGGCACCCATAACAGAAAAAGAAGTTAGGGAAAGGGGTGGAATGTGAGAGGCATGGGCAAAGATGAATTCTGTTTTAGATAGGTTGAATTTGAGATGCCTCTGAAATATTTCTGGAAAATAGTAATAAAAGAATGAAATTCAGGATAGAAACAACTCTTTTTCCTCCTCCTCCTTCTAATTCTTCTTCTTCTTCTTCTCCTCCTCCTCCTCCTCTCTCCCTCTTTGAAAAACTAGGTGCAGTAAATTGGAATTAGAAATGGGACTGGAACCTAGGTTTCTTCCACCTAGTTCAATGATCTTTCATTGTACCACATTTATCTCTGCAGGAAAGAATCATACCTTAAAAAAACAAAACAAAACAAAATCCCTATATTTCTGGCTTATATTATCTTGTGCTGAACCATCACTAGACTTCCTGGTTATTTTCTACTTATCTTTTGTCTAGCCAATTCTTCCCTAAGGAGCTATCAGTGGTTATCAAGATAGACTGTGGGAGTTAGACCTGTATCTTTAACATAAACTCCATCACCAAGCAGTCTTGTAGGGTTTCAGCACTGAGCTCATTTTGGCAGTGGGAGAGAAGAATGAAGGAAGAGTCAGACAGGAGGAGTACAGAAGAGTCTGCAAATGAGATATAAAAGGAGATCACAGAATAATGAGGTGGTGAGGGATTCAAGAGCTATTCCAGATGGCAAGAAAGTAGTGGAAAGAGGCCAAGCATATCCCACCAGGTTTCCTGAAGAGTGAGAGTTCAGACCAGGGAGGGAGCCAGAAAGCAGAAATTATCAGGGAGGAGAAATAGCTAAACCGGATCTTGATAAAAGCCATGAGTTTTCTTCATAGCCATTCACCTTGATAATAATGAGTTGGCTAAACAATCTGTCTTTGGAGTGAGTGGCAGCCAACTTCTATTGCTCCTGAGAACAATTTGGGGAACCAGGTCACTGAGGTTAGACTGCAAAGGTCAACTCTGTTTTAAATGACCTTAATACTATGGTCACAGTGGAGACATTACAAATATATATCCTATTGGTTCTATGAGGTAGTGGTTCTAATTCCTTCACTTAAGTGTATGTGATTTATATGGTACTGTATGTGAAAGATACTCGAATATGAATGACAATGCCATTTTGGAATAATCATAACAATAACAATAATAACTGACATCCATATTGTATTTTGAAGTTTGTGAAGTGGTTTACAGTAATTCTATCTCACTGGAAACTGAATAATCTGGTGAAGTAGGGAATATGGGTATGAGTTTTTAATAAAATTTTACTTTTCTATTTAACATGCACGTATTTTCTCTCCCTCCCATCTCCACCACCTCCTTGAAAATCAGTCCATAGTCAACAAATTTTATTAACTGCTGACTATGTGTCAGGCACTTTTTGTTAATCACTGATGATCAGTCTAATAGGGAGCCAACCTGCAACAACTTTGTTCAAATAAGATAAATACAGGATAAATTGGAGATAATGAATAGAAGGAAGGCACTACAATGGGGGGGGGTGAAAAACAAAATCCTTGTAACAAACATGCATAGTCAAGCAATACGAATTCCTAAATTGGCTATTTCGCAAAATATATGTCTCATTCTCATTCTTTACTGTTTCATGGCCTCCATTATCACCGCAAGACTGATGATACACTTTTTTTACTCCTCTGCTCCTGAATTCTTATCTGAATTTTTAAGGCCACTTCAAATTCTGTTTCTCCAAAATAGAACTCATCATCTTCCCTTCCAAACTGGCTGCTCTTTTCAACTTCCCTGTTGATACACTTGTCATCTTCCCACTCCCTTAAGTTCAAAACCTTGGTATCACCCATGACCATTCCTTTTGCTTGACTTCTTATAGCCAATCAGTCACCAAGTCCTGTTGGGGTTTTCCTTTGAAATTCCCCTTGAGTTTCTCTATCTCCTCTCACCCCTGTACCGAAAGTCCTAGTCCAGACCCTCATCACCTCAGGCCTAGACCACTACTTCATCTCTCTGCTTCCAGTCTCTCTCCCGACACTGAAAAGATGTGTTATCCTAAATCACCAATTTATTCGTGTCACACACTCCTGTTCAAATAGTTCCCTATTCCCTACTTGACAGATGTCCAAAGTCTTCAAACAAGATTTCAATAATCTGGCTGCCATAATCTGGACATACTCTAAATCTTCAAACATATCTTGTCCTCCCCAGTATACAACCTCCACTTCTATTAGGCTGTGTCCTCGAAGGCCTCAGAACATCTACAATCATTTCCATTTTAAAGACTAAACAAGCATGATGTGACGGCAAAGAGCACGGTATTTAGAGTCAGAAAACTTGGTTTCTTAGTTCAACAGTTCAGAAAAGATCTGTCTTCTTTTATAACAACAACAAAAACCCTTTCCTAATTCTCCATTATTAGTACCCTTTTTTGATATTACTTTGTAAATATTACTTTGTATTATTCTGTATTTACTTTACTGTGTACAATGAAATAGACACTGCAGGTATTACTATCCTCATTTAAATTTCCTTTTTTTTATATTTCTATTATTGTTTTTGAGGAGTACAATGGAAAGGCAGGCTCTTTTCTTGCCACTCCCCCTACTATCTCCCCAGACATAGGTACCTCCATTTTATATATTTGTATACTGAGGCTCAGAGAGATCAATTAATTTGCCCATGGCAATATATCTAATATATGATCAACTAGGATTGGAACCTCAGCCTTCTGATTCTAAGTCCATGACTCTTTATACTTCATGATCATTTTCTCATGATGATGTGATTTTGTTTCAATTTATTAATATCCAACATGACAGGGAATTTTGTTTGAACTTCAGAGTGAGTAAAACTTCTGCTCCAAGAACCAGAACTAGTTTTGGGCAAAGAGACTAAATCAATTCCATGTAAAAGAACAATACAAATTCTGTCTAATGGTCAGTTGCTCATTCAAGCTGTGGGAAAAAAGAGGGCACCAACTAAGTAGCATTATTGAATTTCATGAAGAGGAAGTGAGGAGTGTCACAAAATAAAAGAATAGTCAGAGATGGCAGACAACTTAGATTACCTGAAATTACCACCCCAAAGATCAAAAGCCTGCCCCATTCATTTGGTTTCAAAAATTCCAAACATTTTCCCACTGAGATTTTCAAGTGACTCCAAAATACTATAAAGACCTTAATAGTAGCATCTATTTCTTTAGCTATCTATAGTCACAAAGCTCTTTCACAACTGTTATAAAATGTCTTCCTCATAACAACCCTCTGGTTGGTAAACAGGGATTATTATTCCCATTTTATAGATGAGAAAGCTGTACATCCAATGGCTAAAGTGGTTTGTCCAAGGTGACACCAGTAATGTCCACACCTGTGTTACTTCTCTTTTCTTCCCTTCCTTCTCTTGCCCTCATAGCAACCTTATAAGGATAAGGAGAAAGGGAATAGAACTGAAATTTCACTGGTTTAGAAAACTCTCAGATAAAGAAACTCCTACAAATGTAGGATGGCATCTTCACTGAAACTTATAATCTTATAGTTTCCTAGAATATTAATAATTGAAACAAGCACCGTAGGGTCCCACAGTCAGCATGGCATATAAAGGAACTGAACTCAGGTCTTTGGTGTTTAGGTGGCACAGTGTGTAGAGTGCCAGGCCTAGAATCAGGAAGACTTCTTCCTGAGTGCAAATCCTGTCTCAGACATTTACTAGCTGTGTGACCCTGGGTGTGCCACTTAACTCTGTTTGCCTTAGTTCCTCATTTGTAAGATAAGCTGGAGAAAGAATTGGCAAACCACTCCAGTATCTTTGCTAAGAAAACCCCAAATGGGGTCATAAAGAGTCAGACCTGACTGAAAAATTCCTGGCTTTGAGGATGGCTCCCTTACATTCCTATAGTACTTATAAAAGTAATTTTCCTCACAATTTTGTGATCCAGGAACCACACATATTTAGTCCCCCTGATCCATTTTACAGTTAAGGAAACAGAAGTTTAAAGGATAAAGTGACTTACCCAAGTAGTAAATGGTAAGGCTGGGGTTCAAATCTAGTTCTCATCTTGATTTTAAGTCTTTTGCTTTTCTATGGCTACATCCCAATAAATGGTTGACCTATTCTTTACTCAGGAGATTATTCACTTTGGGAACTCCAACACTTTGCCATTTCTGATTTGGGAGGGCCATCCAATGTGGTGACCTGAATCC